AAAAAAAAAAAAAACAAAAAACAAAAAACAAAGGTAAGAAATACACAAATCACACCAGTCCCTAATCGTTTGGCACTGTCGAGATCATTCCTGTGGTGGAAATTCTGTATAACATCCGTGCTTCTGCACCGTCTCTCCCGACTGTGCTCAGCGACATCCCCTGGGTCATCTGCAATCAGTCACAGGAGAATTTACACGGAAATTAGCGAACGCTACAAAACTCAGAGCATTTTTCCCTGCAGGGAGAACCAGTTAAAAATTTACCAGCATGTCGCTGGAAAAATAGGGGGAAAATCAAGAAAACACTAATGGATTTCGCAGGAAGGAGATACGTGTGCTTGATTTTCAGCAGAGGGATGGGTGACAAAAACCACAGTGAAGGGGGTTGAGGAATGAAATTGTGAAAAGGGCAGAAACAAGTGTTCAAATAAGTTGGAGAGCTGTGGAATTACACAGAGAAGCAGATTGTTATTATTGGTGGGGCTTTTTAACTGTAGCACTTACGTGTACTTTATTTTCCAAAAATGAAAAACGGATGAAGTTTATTTTATGATGGGAGCTTTTCTGTTAAAGGAACAGGTTGCCCGCAGGACACATCTTGGGCAATGCTGCTCTAGTATCTCACAGTTTAAGATGATAAGGTTGTTTTAGTTTACGAAAAATATTCTTTTCCTTAAAGTTCTTACGTTTTTAAAGAAATTCTGTTGAGAATGGATGTTGAATTTTATTGCATACTTTTAAAAACAATGGTGATCATATGGTTCTTTAAAAAATTGACCTGGTGCTATGGCAAATGTAGAAAATCTACATTTTCATAGATTTCCTAATATTAGATCTTCTTTGCCTCTCTGTAATAAACATAACTTGATTGTGGTGGTTCACTCTTTTAGTAAATTATTAAGTTTAATTTTTTATTTATCATTTTAAATCAATATTAATAACGGGACTGACAATTTTCTCTTTGTTGTCTGTCAGGATTTCATATTAATATATTGTCACTTAGAAAAATTAATTCAGGGCTCGGCGCCTGTGGCTCAAGAGGTCACCCTGGTCTCACTCAGTCACCCTCGGTAGAGTGCTATGGCATTGTAGCTCACAGCAGCCTCAAACTCTTGGGCTTAAGTGGTTCTCTTGCCTCAGCTTTCCAAGTAGCTGGGACTACAGGTACCTGCCACAACGCCCAGCTATTTTTTGAGACAAGGTCTCACTCTGGCTCAGGCTGGTCTCAAACGCGTGAGCTCAGGCAATCTACCCATTTCAGCCTCCTAAGTGCTGGGATTACCAGTTACAGTATTTTTATCTACTGAGAAACAGTTTACTTTCTCCTTGAAAGTTTGAGAAAGTTCACCTGTAAAATTCTCCAGGCCAGACTCGGCGCCTGTGGCTCAAGCGGCTAAGGCGCCAGCCACATACACCCAAGGTGGCGGGTTCGAATCCCCAGCCCGGGCCCACCAAACAACAATGATGGCTGCAACCAAAAAATAGCCAGGCGTTGTGGCGGCGCCTGTAGTCCCAGCTACTTGGGAGGCTGAGGCAGGAGACTCGCTTGAGCCCGGGAGTTGGAGGTTGCTATGAGCTGTGATGCCATGGCACTCTACCCAGGGGATAGCTTGAGGCTCTGTCTCAAAAAAAAAAAGAAAAGAAAATTCTCCAGACCAAGAGTTTTAGGGGGAAGTAATCCTTGGAAGAGGTTTCAGTTATTTCTTGTGTTAACTGTTTTTCTATTTCTTAAGTCGCCTTTACCATTTGTTCCATTCAGACAAATTATGTGAGTGAATTGCCCTAGCCCTCTCTAGTGTTACCTATTTAGACACAGTTAAAAATCCTATGCCAGATATAAAACTGATAGGAGCAGGCTTCATGATTCTGTAGAATGGTGAACATAGTCTGCTGGCTTCACAGCCGCTGGCTTATAATTTTATTTAAATATAAAATTATAAATTTCCAGGTGGAAAATGTGGTAGAGCTATAGTCCTTGATATATTCAGTCCCTCAAACTGATCTTGTCTCTGCCCTACCATATTCTCTGTCTGGAGACTGTTCTCTCTAAGATACCTTGTAACTCTGAATGGTCACAGAAAATAGAATATTGATCTTAGTAGTGGAAGAGGGTTTGGGGAAAGTTAGGGAATTCTGTCTGCCTCTAAAAGTAGTAGGAACCAGACCAACTTTCTATTGGATCCAACTCTAGGATTACAAACTGAGAATAGATAGCTAGAAGTTTCTAGAAATCCATACCAGCCTCCACTCATCCCCATCTACTTCTTAGTGAATTCACATATATATTTAAAAGGAAATTGGAACAAATATCGAGGAAAGCTGATAGGGCTTACTCTTAACTTGGAATCAATGCTCTTTAATTTTTTTACATAAAATTTTTTTTTAAATTAGGGCAGCACTATGGCTCAAAGGAGTAGGATGCTGGCCCCATATGCCGGAGGTACCAGGTTCAAACCCAGCCCCGGCCAAAAAGTACAAAAAAAAATTTTTTTTAAATGAACATTTTTCCTTCTGTTTTTACATGCTTTTGAGCCCCTCTTTTGTAGTTGCCTTAAATGTAAAAAAACATCAAAGTGGTCATATTTTACAGAGCTCATGTGTTATGCATGCTGTGTCCAATGAACAGTTCAGGTGTGGTGTCCCTTTCATGTCTGGCTAATGAATTAGAAAATGTTTATGTGGCTTGGCGCCTGTGGCTCAATGGCTAAGGTGCCAGCCACGTACACCTAGGGTGGCGGGTTCGAATCCCCAGCCCGGGCCTGCCAAACAACTATGATGGCTGCAACCAAAAAATAGCCAGGCATTGTGGCGG